TTGAACGAATGCATGCGACTTTAACAGAGTATTTGAAAAAGTTCACGACCGATCAAGCGCAGTGGGACGATTACCTTCCACTTGCACAGTTCGCATACAATAACACGATCCATGAAGCGACTGGATTTTCACCTATTGAAATCATTACAGGCTTTCGTGCACGTATGCCAACAGGGCTCGCAAGCACAGACAACACGTACTCGTACGACAGCTACTTGAATGATGTAGCAGCGGAGCTGTGTCGCGTACAAACTCTAGCGGCAATGAATTTAAATCAAGCGAAATATCGCTCAAAGTATTACTACGACCAGCATATTAATACTCAATATTTCAGAGAAGGCGAGATGGTAATGCTATTAAAAGAGCCGCGAATAAATAAGTTTAGCGAGGAATATACCGGCCCGTACGAGATAAAACAGGTTAATCACGAGGAAAAATCGGTGATTCTAATACGCAACGGCACCGAGCGAAGAGCGCACATTGACAAAATCAAGCGCGCTTACGCGCATAAGCCAGCGCCGCTATTACAGAGCGATATGAATGCAGACGACGATGATGGTATGAAGTTGCGAGACAAAAATATGAGCAATATGTCAAATATTTAGTATGTCTTTTGAATTTTTCAATATGTTAAATGTTAACGGTGAAAATTTTTTTTTTTTTTTTTAGCTTTTCGCTCGAGAGCGCTCGTAAAATCGTGCGTATAAGAAAGCTACAATGTATGAATGTAATGTGTTGAAACAAATATTATTTTGAAAGCTACTAGAAAAATGAGTTTAATAATTAAGGATAAAACTTTTTTAAAATTTTTTTTTTTTTTTTTTTAGCAACTTGGGTCGCAACGCGACCTGCTTTGCAAAGAGAAGGAAATTTTTTTTTTGCGTTATGGTGATGTGTATTAGCTCGCAACTTGATCATCCATGGGGCCACTGCAGCCCGTATATATGTTAATGAATACATTTTATTGTTACGGAGCGAGCAATGCATAAGACGAGAGCCGATTCGTAAAAATATGAAAAATAATAACATTTTTTTTTTTTCTTTCCTCTTAAGGAAATCAAAGTATTTTAATAATTAAAATGTTGCTTCGTATATGTTACAGATTGGCGTAAATACACCATTAGAGAGCACGATGAATAGGCGCAAGTGTGCACAAGTTTCGCGAATATGATACATATATGAAACCACCGTACGTGATAAGTGAAGCGCCGTGCAACGGAGTTCGCCAAGCCATCACCGTCCGGTTGGTCTCACGTTCAAAAAAAAAAGAAAAAAAAGTAGAAATGGCATAATGCTGATTGTTAAATTTGAATTAAGAATAGTTGAATTAAATTGATAATTATTGAATTAAGTTGATATGATTTGAGTTGTGAATAAATTTGAAAATTTGGAAAAAGTGAAAATTAGAATAATATACTTGTGTGCAATTGCAGTGCCTAATATCACATCGTTAATCATTCGCCATCGCAATGAAGGATGTCATCATATGCAATTCTGCAGCTGATATCATCTACAATAATATGATTTAAATTTATTTGGCTATATTTTAGTTCATTATGATTTATTTAAAATAGTTTTTGATAATATTTAATTTTGGAATGTTATAAAGTTTGATAATATTTTTTGATAATTGTTGGAAAATTAGAAAGAAAAATGTATGTATTAAATAATATGCAAAATGAATAATTGCGAAAATGTTGGAACCGCATTATGAATTAGTATTGGCATTAATGATGACTCAAAGCCACATGCAGCACTGGCAAATTTTTTTTTTTTTTTTTGGAGTTTTAGTTATTTTATATTTTGAATGAAATTGTGTTTCTCTCTTGCACGGCGAAGAAAATAAGAGTATGTACGAGTATAAATATTATTTCATGGCAAACGCATCAAGCAAATAAGCATACAAGTTATCAAATGATCAAAAAAAAAAAACGCAACGCTTGACAGCAGCAACGTGTCATTTGAACACAGGCTCTTGCAGATAAAGCAGAGCACATCAGTACGTCGCACGTAGTATAGCGCACAACACAGCGAGCGTAGCTTGTAATGCATAGCGCACAGCGTGCGCAACGTACACAGCTGAGGCAGCTTCCAAGCAGAAACATGAAACAGCTCATCAAAACTATAATTTGGCCACCAAGCGTGTTGTATTGCAACCGATCGGCCGAATGTATCTCACATGTTGACGCACGTATGAGACCGTTATGAGTCGCTCAAGGGACGGGGAAATAAAAGGAAACAAGCAAGAAAATTGAGAAGATTCAAGTTTTGTTGATCGAAAAGCTCCCGATCACTTGAGCACCGCACCGTCCGAAAGTTCCAACTACGTGGCAACCTAAATAAACAAAGATAACAAAAGACGTTGCTGGTTGCTAAGCATTTGCCAGCCAGCAGGTCTTCGCATCTGCCTCCGAGCTCAAACATCTCTGTATGCGGCCTTTTGCCGCCTCACAGCGAGCCAACATGCTCGATGAGCTTTCAGTTGAAGCCCTGTACATTTGTTCCAAAACATCACATGAACATAAGCCTACGAGAGCGTTCGCCATGAAAAGAAAAATTATTTTATCATAATAGCTGAAAATGAGCTTATATGCGCCGTGCACAGGAGACAGTACAATAAATTTGAATGAATTTCATTAGAGTAAAATAATTTGCCAGCCTGCGGACGGCAATGTGGTATAAGATTAATAAAATTAATAAAAGAAATATTATATTTAGAGAAAATGATTTGAAAAGAAAAAAAAAATTAATAATCAAAATTTTATTTATTATTATTAAATTGAAAGAAGAAAGAAAGAAATAAATAAACAAAATAAGGATAATTTTGGATATGATTGCATTAGAAATTTTAATTTTTTGTGAAAAATATGAAAAAGTGTGGGAAAAATTTGAATAATTTAAAGAAATATTTAGGGATTTAAATGTTTTAGTATAATTTTGGATATAATTGAATGAAGTGGAATGTAAAGGTTATTTCCTTGGGAATTGTAAGCCTGACCGCTCGCAGGCCAACCTAAGCTGAAGTTTTAATATGTTATAACGATGATTGAAAGGGTTGGAAAAAAAAATGAAAAAAAAAATGTGTATGTTCTACTTGATTTAGTTTTTTTATGCATTTGTTTAAATTATAATGATTATATAGTTGATTAATATATTTGCGGAACAAAAACAAATTGACCAGTAATAATTTGAAAATTAATCAAAGATTAATGAGTTAATAATTTGAAATGTTTTTTTGGAAAAAATTTTGTAAATGAATATGGTTATATATTTGGTTTATTAATAAAAGAAACCGTTAAGGAGAGAGATAGATAAATAAAAGTTTTGTATTTTGGTTTTTTTGTTCGCGCCGTGGTCGGCGCGTAGCAACTTGGGTCGTGTCACGTGGGACCGCTGGGCCCCACCAGTGACTCCGCGCTTACGTCACGCGCGACGAGGTAATGAGCATAGCTCATTAATTATCTCGTCGCGCCTAGTCCAGTAGTCAGTCCAATTTGCGCAGCCTCAAGCGCTGCATGATTCTCTCTCTCTCCTTACGTACTGTCACGGCAAGTGTAGCGTCTGAATTATTTTATCCCCTCCTCATCTTATCCCCACGTAACACCCTATTATTCTCATTTTCTGGTGCTAGGTGTGTTCAACGGTTTTTTTTTTCTCTTCTTTTCGTGTAAAAAGAAAAAAAAAGAGTTTGCGAGTTTTTATACAGCAACGCCGTTGGAAGAGTCGAATCCAAGGGTCGTGGGTCGATTAAACAGGAAGGAACGCAGGCTGCCCAGACCACTGCGACAGGTAAGTGAGAGTATCATTATTATTATTAACTGGATTCAAATTTCTTTTTGTTGTTCTTCTCAATTGTGAATTATTCGATCAAGTTGCGAGTGCATTGCTTATCAAAAAATAAAAATGTCAGATAGAAGAAATGGTAAAAATTTGAGTGAGCCCGCTGAGATGCCGTTTGAATTGCAAGGTGAAGGAGCGCGAAGTTTATTTTTGACGGCTGCAGAGAGTGAACGTAGAGCGTGGATCGAGGAAAAGTATCCGGGGTTTATNCTGAAAATGGCTGTTTTTGGTGATTTTAGGCATTTTAGGCCTATTTTTGACCTTTTTTGCACGTTTTTCGCCACACATTGTTGTCTACATTGCGTTAAACTTTAAGACCCATTACAAAACTTTATCAGGCATTAGTTGACATCTTTAGGAAGCTTTTCACATAGTTTAGGAAATGAAAGTCCGGTTCGAACTCGAGTAGATTTCTTCCCAGATGGCAAAGAGAATTCATTAAGAAATCTTTAAGAATTCACGAGTATTCTTAAGAATTCGCAAAGTGATCATATTCTGTTCAAAAGTATTCTATAAGAATTCTCTGAGAGTTCGAGTTATGACCACCAATAGAATTCTTTTTGAGTTCTTATAGTATTCTAAGGTATTCATAAAGTAATCTTAAAGCATTCATGAAGAATTCTACAGTATTCGAAAAAGCTCACGCATGTTTCGACTAATTTTTTGGGTAAAGAATACATAAGGTACGGAACCATGTCCTGTCGACCTAGGGCGTTTGATCACTCATGTAGCCTCTAAGGCTACTCCACGAAAAACTTTTTACCTACATTTTGTTACTTTATTACCTTGTTTTTACGTTAGTGGCAAAGAAATAAGAATATTGTAGTAATTTGAGCGATTGGATTATTAACATAGTGACGACTAAAAACTTATTTTAATAATAACATAATCTTCGTTTATATTAATTCTCTATTTTAAATATTGAAAAATGGTAAAATTGGATAGGAAATAAGACAGCACGTTGAAAGCTAGTTGTTATTTTTATTATTATCATTTTTATTATTATCATTTTTATCAATATCACTATTATAGTTATTATTAGTATTATTATTATTATAATGATTATTATTATTATTATCAATATTAATATTAATATTATTAATATTATTAATATTATTATTATTATTATTATTATTAATGCTGAAAATTATAAAAATTTTTTACATGTGCTCCCCAACGTGTTGCAAATAACTCTTCATGCCTTTTTTGGCATCATCTTGGGTAAAATTGGCTCCCACTTTGCTGATTGTACCTAGAAAAATAATTTTTGTATTGTTCAAAAAAACTCTAATTTTTTTATTGAAAATTATTTTGACTTACTCGCTATTATAGACGATATTTTCAGACTTTGAAATGCCTCTTTTTTTTTATATCCTTCTTTGGTGTTTCGTCCTTGACCGCTCCATGAAAATTTCACCGCAACCTCTTTGGTCATGAGGTCACTCATGACACGCCGAGCAAATTCTTTGGCATCGGGCCCACCAACATCCTTGATAAATTTTATCTAAAAGTCATAAAAATTGTACTTTATATATCGGGATTGGGGGTGGATAATGCTTATGGGTTACGAGTCACGCGAGTAAGATGCAAGAGCGTTTGTTCGCCCTTATAAAAATTCCCTACAGGATCCCGCGAAATTCCTGCTGGAATCTTATAGGACTCCTGTAGAAATTTCGCGGGATCCTATAGGAAATTTTCATAAGAGCGATAATTGTAATGCATTACAGTCCAAATACGGAAAACTGTTTTAACATTTACAGAATAGACAGCCATAAAATTGAATTTCGTAGTTTTCTCGATTTATTTTAATTCTTACCAATTGATTTTTTGCTTCATTATTTTTTATTAAATTTTCCAATTCATAGAGCGATTCTATTGTCTCTATCGGCATATCTGGTAAAAGTGACTGTTCTTCTTGTTCCTCTTCAGCTTTTTTGCTTATTGCTAGCCTTTTTAATTTGGAAAGCAAAGAAGAGTGGTACGTCTTGTAGTCCTGTTTGGTGAGTAAATCTAGTAAAGAATGTATTAAAAAATTTTAAACAGATACGTTTTTAATAATACTGTCATTATAAATAATATTATTTGAAAGAAAATGTACCATTTGGATTCAACATGGCGATTGGTTTTTGACAATGTGGACACAATGGAGGTAAAGAAGTGGCTGTAAAAAAGCATACAAGGTTATTGTTTACCACAAAAAATATACTATCTGGTAATAAGGCCAAAGCTTGAATCATTTAGTAACACAAATAGAAATAATAATTAATCCTGCTTGGAGTGAGAATTGTTTCTTTACATCGAAATCGGTATAAGATATAATAGATTCTACATTGATCGGAGTGGATAAAATATGGATTACCATATGGATTTTTAATGAACCCCTGATACGTTATTAGTAGTTAGTTACTTCTTAAACTTTGAGAATATCTACTGTAGGTATAATAATTTACGAAAAAATATAAATAACGTTTATTAACTATTATTGGACTCGGTCATTACTACCATTATTTAATCTTCGTCAATTGGAATACAATATTGGAGAATTAAATTTCTTGAGATAGATTATGTAATTAATTGACTTTCATTTAAACACTGACAAACTGATGTTTCTGCACTAATATTTTAAGATGTTAGTGCTTTAAGATAAGTTATTGTTTTAAGATAATTAATCAACTAATAGTAAAATAAAGCGAGGTAAAATAAATGATAGCTGATGGAAAAAAAGTTTTTTTGAGGGCACCTACAAGGCCGCTTGCAATTTAATCTAATACTAGATGTTTCAAACGCGCTTCGCGAGTGTCAATTTTTTTATTCGTTTTTAAGGTTAGTTCAAGATTCATAAATAGTAAGTTTCAAACGCGTTTCGCGCGCGTCAATTTTTTCATTCGTGTTAAGAGGTTACTTAAGTACTAATAGTCTGTCGACAGTTAGCAGCGCAAACGCTCGTATCGAGTCAGCTTGCGTTGGGCGTCGTCATCAATGTCAACCAATCAGAGGCCGTTTTATGGTGCTTCACTATGAGGTCCATCTCTTTATTATAAGTTGATTGATGATAAATGATGAAGTAGAGAGAGAGAGAGAGAGAGAGAGAGAGAGAGAGAGAGAGAGAGAAAGAGAGAGAGAGAGAGAGAGAGAGAAAGATATATAACCCTTTGTGCTCGGGATATCTTAGACCGAAAATAAGTAATTATGAAAAATCAATTTTATATTAAACACCATTACCATTGGAACTGCGTCTTGAAGATGGTTTAGGACGTGAATTACCGTTGGAAATTACCGTTGAGTCATTTTTATTTTCCAGATGTCGTGGTGGTGTGTCTAAAATTGAGGTTTTTATAATTTTCATAATTGTTACAAATAACTTTCAAAATATCTGTAGAAGTACAATCTGGGACCCTACATGAATATTCACGCATAATTTCAAAGAGGTGAATTTACGCAAATTCCAAAATTGATTTTCTTATCATGGATTCTAAAAATCCATGTGATTTTATTTTATAATGATAATCAATTTGGGGCATCTAAGTAATTTGGATCAAAATAATTTCAATTTGAATAGTAGATGGAAATCATACTTAGAATCGGGAACACTTAGTAAATTTGGCAGGAAAGTGCAAAATTTACCTAGTTGAAAAGAATTGCATGGATATTGAATATCCGTGTAGATTACACAGGCACACAAAAAAAAAAAATGCTCAGTTCCAGAGACCGGACCCAGTAGACTTTATGTTTTTTGGGTCGCTGAATCCGAATCCGTTGTCGGTTTTTCGCCATCAGATCGATTTAAGGTCATTTGAAGGTCATTTAAAGGTCAAATCATGAAAAATAGGTTTAAAAATCTGAAACTATCCCTATATAGGTTTTTGAGGATGCTGAATTCAAATCTGAAGTCAGATGACCTCTACGACCTTCCCTTCAAGGTCATTTGAAGGTCAAACTTAGAAAATTCGATATAAAAATCCGAAAAATATATTTTTTATGTTTTGGGGGTCGCTGAATTCAAATTCAGGGTCATTTTGACTTAATATTGACATCTACAGGTCATTTAAAGGTCAATTGAAGGTCAAATCATGAAAAAAAGGTTAAAAAATTGGAAAAACTCCTATATGGGTTTTCGAGGATGCTGAATTTAAATCTAAAGTCAGATGACCTCTACGATCTTATCTTCACGGTCATTTGAAGGTCAAACTTAGAGATTTCAATGTAAGAATGCAAAAAATATCACATTTATGTTTTGACGGTCGCTGAAATTGAAAAAAAGGTCATTTTCACTATACTGAGTTATTTTAAGCTTATTTCAAGATTAAGTTAATGAAAAGAGGGCAAAACTTGATGAAACATTGTTAATTTTGCATGCCTTTTTACCTTTTTCTTTTGTAACGCACCTTTTTTTCTTCAAACGATCGGCGTAAAG